TGCTGCAAAAATACTATTTACAGTCGCGTGGGGGGGGGGCGCAAAATGTTTTCTTCTTCCTAGGGGGGGCATGACAGAAAATAATTGAGAAGCACTGGGTTACAGTAATTGTTGCAGTAGGAAAAAATCATCCCATATGTAAGAATCTGCTACCCTCTACTGTTCGTATTTGTGAACATGTGTTCTTAATATGACACAGTTAATTATGTATGCACTTCCTGTCTCTGGGAGGCTGGGTTAAAAACCCAGAGGAAGGAAGTAGATAGAGAGGTTTTTGAGAGGAGATAGAGAGGTTTATTAGGAATAATTGTTCCTATGTTCTGGCTGTTTAACTGCAGCTGCTCATAACTTTTTGATCTGATACTGGCAAAGTGCCATATAGCTAAGTCTGTGCTACTCTATGTATGTAGTGGTCACTTTCCAGTATATTAGTACGTGTGACGGGAGTCACTTTGGGTGGGTGGGGGGCCCATGAAACCCAGCTCACTTTGGAGAGGTAGGGAGACCCCTGTCTCAGCTCCTCATATCCCTCTTATGTGTAAATCACCCTGTGCTTCTTAGGTGTACAGGGTGATATGTCCTAATATTGTGTGGGGGTTGTTGATTGTTTAATGTCATGTGGTTGCATCCCATTGTTCTATTGTGTGTCTGGCTTGGGAGCAAACTATTATGGGATGTATGTGTTTATGTGTATTAGCTTAGTGGGGGGGTGTCTCCAGCAGCCCTTCTTTCTGATGGGACTGTCTGCTGGTGTGAAGTTTGAATACCTGTGTGTCTCTTGTTACTAAATGTAGATTGCCCCACCTTGTGTCATTATGCAGGGAGGGGGGGATTGCCCCCTGAGTGTATATATCTTGTATCTGTGTTCAAATAAACTAGTCTACCTCTTGGTTTACTTCAAGACTGGTATTGTCTAGTTTTGTATGGTCGGCTGTGGTGTCTCTTGTCGGTGTTTGGATGGGGAAGTGGTAGTCAAACGGAAGTACTCAAGTGCAGTCTGGGTCGGTTCTGTTACAGTAGGTAAACCTGTTTATTTCAATAGAGTTTAGATGCATCTCCTGTTGTTTTAATTAACCCTGTCCTATCTAGTCTGAAATTCTATAGCTAGTTTTATCTCAAGGCTCAATAAAAAGCAGAGACTAGAGCCAGGTTAGGCATCCAATGGCCCAGTAGGTAGTTAGAGGTCCTATTGCATGGCAGATTAGAAACTACTATGGACTAAGAAGCAAAGTAGATAGGCTGTATGCAGTATCACACCACAGTTTCTACTGTTGAAAAGCTACATTTCAGACAGGTTGAGCAAAGGTTGGAGGATCTCCCCATCACCAATAACTCTTCAGGTCTTTGACAACAAGACAGACACTGCATCATTCTCTCCACTCATTCTTCCCATATTGGTGTGCATCTATATACAATGCTTATTGTTAATGTTATATGCTGGTAGCAGTAGTTCCTCAGCTCCCAATTACTGTGATTAGATTACTGATTCATTTTCCAGAAAGGGAATCCCCTCTGTCCTGGGTGAAGGCACTGCCAACTTTATTATCAAACCCATTCTTTCACTTAGTGAAGGTTCTCTTATCTACCCCCAGGTTTAAAGCAATTAAAGCTGTTTGGGGAGAGACATTTTTCATAACTTGCCAGAAGAGGGCTACACATATATTCCAGACTCAAATGATAAGGAAAAAGAGGAAGGGAAGAGACCAGAACCTGGAGTTGACACATACAGCGATCTGACACACCCAAAAGTGTTGTAGGGTAAACTGTAAGTATTTTCCAGTGTTGCAAATGTTTAAAACACAAAGTGAGGCCTGGTTACAGGTTCTCTTTGTGATATTCTGCAATATTTCATTAATTGCATTGTACCTGGGCCCCATTAATGAGTGTCGATGATGCCAGTCACTTCATTGTCTTATGTAATACCAGTAGAAGCAGTGCTAAAGCATTGCCCACACCCAATAGACTCCCAAAGACGTGTCACGACATTTACATCTATTTAGCACAATGGAAAGGTGTCCTCTCTAACACACCCTTCATTTATCATTTTTCTATATTCATCCTGACCTAATTAATAAACTATTGTTTTCCCAGGTTTCATACTTTTGACAGAGACAAATTACCATTTCAAAGTTAAAGTGTGTCTATAGCTAAAACATTTTATTAGCATTGCATAGAGTGGTTAAGTGCCCCTGTCATATTTTTCCTTTCAATAAATTTTTCTTGAATAGTTTTAAGTTTAAAAGATACAGATGCAACCGCTGTCATGTATATAAATAATGAAGTAACAAATGGTGACAGTCAATGGCGGTCGTACATTGGAAAACATATCTGTAAATAGAGACAAGTCATTTACATGGCCCCTGTCATATTTTTATTGCTGTCTGTGTCCCTACTGGGAAGTATTCCCTGATATTTTTTACTTTCGGTTATAAAAGTATATAGTAAACTCAAAGGTAGTCAAAATTGTAGGCCAAAATGTATTCTGCTACATGTCTTTGGTAAAAAAAAATCCCAATACATATATATGACTTGGTTTGTGTGAAAGTTATAGCATCTACAAACTATGGCATAGATACTGGAATTTACGCAGCTGTTACTTTGTGACTGCCTATCACATTTCTTGAGGTGCTAAAATGCCAGGGCAGTACAAACAAAACCCCAAATGACCCTTCTTTGGAAAGTAGACATCCCAAGGAATTTGCTGAGAGGCATCTTGAGTCCATGGAACATTTTATTTTTGCCACAAATTTTTGGAAAATGACAATTTTGTTTTTTTACACAAAGTTGTCAGTTAAATGATAAATTGCTCACGCATGCCATAGGTAGAATAAAACCCCAAAGCACATTCTGCTACTTCTCCCAAGTATGGGGATACCACATGTGCGAGACTTTTTGGCAGTCTAGCCACATACACACCCCCAAAATCCAATGACCACCTCCAGGCTTTTAAAGGGCATATTTCCTCATATCACTTCCTCACTACCTATCACAGTTTCGGAGGCCCTAAAATGCCAGGATAGTACAAACAACCCCCCCCCCCAAATTACCCCATTTTGGAAAGTAGACACCCCAAGGAATTTGATAAGAGGTATGGCAAGTATTTTGCAGATGCCATTTTTGTCACAGGGTTTTGAAAAATATACATTGCAAAATACTCACCATGCCTCTTAGCAGATACCTGTCTACTTTTCAAAAAGGGGTCATGGGGGGAAGGGGGGGGCAAGGGTTCTTCTACTATCCTGGCATTTCAGGACCAACATTAGAAGCTTATGCCACACATTACCCACTTTTCTCACCACTTGAAGACCAAGCCTTTTCTGACACTTTTTAATTACTTGAAAAAAACAGTGTTTAAGCTTTTGAACCCCCAAACATTATATATTTTTTTTTAAAGCAGAGAGCCTAGACAATAAAATGGTGGATGTTGAAATTTTATGTCACACAGTATTTGCGCAGCGATTTTCAAAACGCAAATATTTCGGAATAAAAACTTTTTAGAATTTTAATGCAGAAAAACACAATATATTGCCCAATTGTTTGATAAGGTATAAAAGATGATATTATGCCGAGCAAATGGATACCAAACATAACATGCTTTAAAATTGCGCACACCCGTGCAACGGCGACAAAGTACGTACATTTTTAATATCCATAGGTGATGCTTTAAAAGCCTTTAGAGGTCACCACTTTGGATTTACACAGGAGGTCCAGTGCTAGAGTTACTGCCCTCAATCTGACGCTCATGTGATACCTCACACGCATCTGTGTTTACATACCGCCATGGGGCCGCTGCTTGTGTTTGCCTTTGCACACGAGCATGGGGATGGGGGTAGGGGTGAATTTCTTTTTATTATTATTTATTTTGCTTTTTTATTATTTCTACACTGTCCCTTTCATTTTATTTTTGATCACTTTTATTGTTATTACAAGGAATGTAAATATCCCCTGCGATAGCAATAGGCAGTGACAGGTACTCTTTTCTAAAAAATCTGGGGTCTATTAGACTCTAGATCTCTCCTCTGCCCTTAAAGCATCTGATCACACCAAGAAGAGTGTGATCAGAAGCTTTCCCAATTTTAAAATGGCACTGTTTATATCCGGCGAAGCGGCCTTTTACCAAGTGATCAGCTGTGTCCAATGACACAGCTGATCACCGGGTAAATACAGTTGCTGGTTATCGGCTGCACTTTCCTCACACTGTCACAGTGTGAGTAAAGTACTGTGGATAGCTGGCAATTGTCACAGAGCAGATCGGCACTGATGATCAGGGCACTGATGATCAGTGCTCAGAAGTGCCACCCATCAGTGCTGTCCAGCAGTGCCGCCCACCAGTGCCCAGCAGTGCCGCCCACTAGTGCCGCCCACTAGTGCCACCCACTAGTGCCGCCCATCAGTGCCACCAGTCAGTGCCGCCTATCCGTGCCGCCTCATCAGTGCCCATCAGTGCTGCCTATCAGTGCCCATTAGTGCTGCCTATCAGTGCAGCCTCATCAACGCACATCAGTGATGGAGAAAAATTACCCAATTGCAACATTTTATAATAGAAACAAAGAAAAACGTTTCTTTTTTTTCCTCTTTTTTTGTTTATAGCGCAAAAAATAAAAACACCCAGCGGCGATTAAATACCACCAAAAGAAAGCTCTATTTGTGTGAAAAAAAATTATAAAAATTTCATATAGGTACAATATTGCATAACCGTGTGATTGTCATTCAAATAAGGAAAGCGCTGAAAGCTGAAAATTGGCCTGGGCACGAAAGGGGTATAAGTGCCTGGTAGGCAAGAAGTTAAAATGTCTGGTGCAATGTTCTTTGATTTTTTCTCTCCCAAATTAATTATATATGAATGCACAAGGAAAACCAATATATGAATTATCTCCATAATTTTTTATTGGGTGTTGTCCCTGAACAGGTTGTATAGCTATACACGCCTATAGCCTAAATTATAGGTTAGCCCAGGGAATGTCCTCGCCAGGTTACAGGGTGTAAATTTCATGGTGGCGGTTACTATAAAAAAGGACTTGTCTCCGTAGCTGTACGGATTGCTCTCTGCTGTGGGAGGTAAGCAAAAGGGATGAGGGAAAATATAGATATTTGTTTTATGTTATGTTATATTATATTCCCTTGATATTTCTTTTTCTAATGAGCTTAGACAGAAACAGTCCCCAAAATTAAAATCAGTTTAAAGGCTTGCATACACCATCAGTCAGAGCCTTTTCATGAAGAGCCGCCCAGACTCATACGTTTGAATGCAAAATGCAGGAAGACAACGCTTGTGTACACAAGCACTTACACAGTCTTCTTACTAGACGTGCAATTCGTTTTGTTGCAAATCAAAATTAGGACTACATTTTCATTATTCAGAGATTTGGATGTACCCAAATTTCTGAATCACAATAGTAACGAACTTTAACAAATCCAAAGCAAATAAAATTATAACTAAACAAATTATCCGAATTCTAAAATTATGTTGAATTCCAAAATAAATTTGAATTCGAAATGGAAACACATTGCAATAAATACAGCAAGGAAAAAAAGTGAAATAAGATGATTCCTACTTAGGCTGCTTAAGAAAATAGAATAGAAAAGAATAGAATAGACTAGAATAGAATAAAATAGAATAGATTAAAACAGAATAAAAAAGAATAGCTTATAAAAGAATAGAATAGAAAAACTAGAATAGAATAGAAGATAAAATAGAATAAAATAGAAGAACAGAATAGAAGTTAATAGAATATTCAAATTCCGAAATTTAAACTTCAAATAAATGCAAATTTGAATTGATTAAAAAATAACAAATATACAAACAAATTCTGAAAACAAATCATTCTAACATATCAAATATGACAAAACAATATTATTAACCTAATGAACGAATCCAAATTGAAACAAATTTTTCAGTTGTGCACATCTCTGCTTCTCAGGGTTCGGTATCCTAGGCCATCTTGATGGAGCAGGTGGGATGACATATCTGCATGCACAACTCAGTGCACATTCTAAGGAAGTTTGCAAGCAGGCAGGTACAAACCTTTATTGCTGAGGAGACTTAGGCTGGCCATACATTATACAATTATCTTCCAATTTTCTGCCCAATTTCCTTTAGATTTACCTTAAACTGTGTAGTGCAAGGGCCTGCCTGATTGGATACAACTGAAAGTCTTGTTTAGGTTTGTCCTCCTATTATATGGTTTTTGGTAAATCTAAAACAAAAATCTCCAGATAATTGTATAATGTATGACCAGCCATAGTCAGTCCCTTCTTCAATAAAAAAAAACCCCTCACTGCTAGCAACTTTTTAAAGGCAAATTTCCAGTTTAAGATGTGTATAGTTCCATTCAATAATATATGGCAATGGTTGCTGTTGAACTGAATTCTTATGATTGCAGAGCTACTGCATGGCAACCCATACATTCATCTTTTTTTTTTCATTCAACTAGTGGGTTGAACGAAAAAAAGTATCCAGTTCCCCCATCCACATATTTGAGGTGGATGGGGGAATCCAACCGCTGTGCTATTGTGTTCTGACAGCAGCAACAGCCTTCCCCACTGTCAGAACACACATACAGTTGCAAGAAAAAGTATGTGAACCCCTTGGGATTACGTGGAGTTTTGCATGAATTGGGCATAAAATGTGCTCTGAACGTCATCTAAGTCACAGCAATAGAAGAACACAGTCTGCTGAACATAATACTACACAAACATTAGATGCTGCCATGGTTTAATTGCACATAACATGTAAACATTCACAGTGCAGGGAGGAAAAAGTATGTGAGGCCCTAGCTTAATGACTTCTCCCAGAGCACATTGGAGCCAGGAGTGAGCCAACCTTGACTCCAATCAGGGTGATGATATCGGATGTGTTGCTGACAGCTGTCCTGCCCTTAAAAAACACACACCTGTTTTGGGATTACTGGTTTCAAGAAGCACTGTCTGATGTGAACCATGCCTCACAGAAAAGAGCTCTCAGAAGACCTACGATCAAGAATTGTTGACTTGCATGAAGCTGGAAAGGGTTACAAAAGTATCTCCAAAAGCCTTAATGTTCATATGTCCACGGTAAGACAGACTGTCTACAAATGGAGAAAGTTTAGCACTGTTGCTACTCTCCCTAGGCGTGGTCGTCCTGTAAAAATGACTGCAAGAGCACAGCGCAGAATGCTGCATGAGGTAAAGAAGAATCCCAGAGTGTCAGCTAAAGACCTACAGAAATCTCTGGCACATGCTAACATTTTTGTTGACACGTCTACAATAAAGAAAACATTAAACAAGAATGGAGTACATGGGAGGACACCACGGAGGAAGCCATTGCTGTCCAAAAAGAAGATTGCAGCACGTTGGAAGTTTGCAAAAGAGCACCTGGATGTTCCACAGCACTACTGGCAGAATATACTGTGGACAGATGAAACCAAGATTGAGTTGTTTGGGAAGAACACACAACACTATGTGTGGAGAAAAAAGGCACAGCACACCAACATCAAAACCTCATCCCCACTGTGAAACATGGCGGAGGGAGCATCATGGTTTGGGGCTGCTTTGCTGCCTCAGGACCTGGACGGATTGTTGTCATTGATGGGAAAATGAATTCCAGAGTTTATCAAGACATTTTGCAGGAAAACGTACGACCATCTGTCCGCCAACTGAAGCTCCGCAGAGAATGGGTGAGGCAACAGGACAATGACCCAAAGCATACAAGTAATTCAACAAAACAATGGCTGCAACAGCACAGAATACGCCTTCTGGAGTGGCCCAGTCAGAGTCCTAACCTCAACCCGATTGAAATGCTGTGGCATGACCTTAAGAGAGCGATTCACACCAGACATCCCAAAAATATTGCTACACTGAAACAGTTTTGTGAAGAGGAGTGGTCCAAAATGACTCCAGATCGTTGTGCAGGTCTAATCTGCAACTAAAGGAAATGTTTGGTTGAGGTTATTGCTGCCAAAGGAGGGTCAACCAGTTATTAAGTCCAAAGGTTCACATACTTTTTCCTCCCTGCACTGTGAATGTTTACATGTTATGTGCAATTAAACCATTTCAACATCTAATGTTTGTGTAGTATTATGTTCAGCAGACTGTGTTCTTCTATTGTTGTGACTTAGATGACGTTCAGAGCACATTTTATGCCCAATTCATGCAAAACGCCATGGAATCCCAAGGGGTTCACATACTTTTTCTTGCAACTGTATCAGTGCTGCTGGCTATCGATCAGGAAAAATCCGACAAGCTGGTTGTACAGAAGTCAATCAGTAGATCGACTTCTGTACAACCAAGGTGCCCATACATGGCTATAAATGTGGCCTTGGTCCACACTGTGTTCTCACCATGGCTGGTTTCACCTGGCATCTTCTCTCTCTGGCATCTCCAGTGTGGGCACCCAGGTGTGACAACTTACGGCTTCACAGCCGGGTGCCCACTGCGCATGCGTGAGAAGCGCTGTGCTTTGTGAATGGTCCCATAGTCTTCTGGGACCTGTCATGTGTCCCAGAAGACTATGGGGAGGGAGGGGGGGAGGACAACGTCCACATCTGATCGCCTAGGCGATCGCAGCGGAAGTGGGAGTGGATACCTATCAAATTCTGGTACCCGCTCCCCAAAGGTGCTAATCCTTAACGCGGAGCGGTGGACAAAGGCTTAAAGCGGAACTTCCCCTTTTGGGTGGCGCTCCGCTCTAAGTCTACAATTTGCATTAGCAAAGAAAGCACTGTCAGTAAGATGTGTTTGTGTACAGTATTTAGGAGAAAAATAAATGTTTATCTTCAATTAGAAGATAAAAAATGGACAATGGGAATGGTTAAAAGCCATTTCAAATTTTATTTTCTGTATGTGTCAGATTTCCCTTCACTTTCTGTGCCATAGACAAAACAGGAAGAAAAGGGATGAATCCGCTCTTAGCTGTCTCCGGAACAAGTGTCCCCATTGATAGATTTCACCTTTATTCCTGTTCAATTAATTATCAGAAAATGTTGGATTTTCTCATTGCCATCAGTATTTGGGGACACAGGCAGCCTTTGAACCTCCTCTAATTTTTTCATTACTCATATTTGACCATATGAAGATATGATGGTTAAATTAAAGGCAAAATATGGCCAAAACTCTTTTGGCCATACTTCTCCGGTGGGTCATTGGAGTGCACTTAGTTCTGCACTTCTGTGACCCAGCTCGCTAAAGCCTGCTGTTGGTTGATATCACATAGCTGGTAACAATATCACATTGTAACAATAATATCGGGATCTGCCCGGATGCCTGACTGGCAGCTGGCTCAGCCTTTTAGAGTGCCGTTGAGAGCCAGCCGCTCCTGCTCTCTCGATAGTCTGGCACTCCAGCGAGCGCTAGAGGGGTGGAGCACAGACAGTCACCAATCTCTGCTCACTGAGAACTCAGCAAACAGAGGTCATGTGATCACTCAGTTCTCAATGTTCATCCACCTAGGTAAGTATGTATGTTTGGTTTTTTTGGAACAACACAAAACCCTAGTGTCCTAGTGCAATACATTTTTATTAAGAGCAACTATAAAACCTTTACGCAATACACTCAAACGGGAGACACCTCCAAGAGGCTAGATGTCAGCCTGAGATGACAGGAACCACCGTGATTAGATGCTAGCATGCCCTTGCTACTGCGCATGCGCCCGATCCAGCCAGCGCCATACTCCATTGAGAGAGACCTGCAACATAGAGAAGAACAGGGAGATGAAGACACACATCAAGGTTGCTATCATTATGTGTTTTGGAGGCATGGCCTCCTTTGTCAAGTCACTCCCACTCCTCATGTATCATGTGTTAACCAGATCTTAAAGGGACTGCACCACGAGAAGCTAACTGATACAAAATATAGATAGTGGGACAACAGTAACATTCTCATTCTCATTGTTACAATATATCATTAGGAATTTAATTCAGATTATTATTATTATTATTATTATTATTATTAATAATAATAATAATAATAATAGCAAATGCTACATGATAATAATTACAAAATCTGTTTTCACTGCATAATAAGATTAATAATAATAATCAGTAAATGGAATTAAAAATAAATTGAATAAAATCAAAATGGGGACAGCCAAGCTGACATTATTGTCATCCGCTGTGCAATTAATGGAGATGAAGATCAATCTCCTACAAAAATGTTAAAATTTTTTATATAAGATATTGTTTTTTTCATTGAAATGTAAGATCATAACATACTGATTGAAGTACAATAAGTTTCCGAAAAATAATAAAACACCCTAATAGACGGGAAATATATTTACTAAATTAAAGTATTAATTTCCAGTTCCTCGTCTAATTAATCAGGGACCACGGTATTCAATGTAAAAATCTATAATGTCTCCCGTGCACACAATCTGGAGGACCTCTCCCCTGGAATAGACATTGGTATAGCTTCGATACCAAAAAAGCTCTAAGCCCTCTATGCTTCCACCATGTACCTGAGAAAAGTGTCCGGGAACACTATGTCTATCCTATGTTTATCCCGGTGCTCCACAAATTTTGTGTGCATAGTGCGCACCGTCCGTCCCACATAGTACAGCCCACAAGGACACCTCAATCAGTGCGCCACCACAATCTGAGTACCACAATGTATAAATTGTTTTATATGGAATACTCTTCCATCTATTCGTGAAATTTTTTTTTTCAGTAGAGAGCTGCAGTAACGCTTAGATGACCATACTTCACTTTTAAATCTGACATTTATATGAAACCACCAGCATTCTTTAACCCCTTGGCGCCGGCGCCTCCCGGCCCTTTAAGGGTTTCAGAAGCCGGGAAGTGGGGCGGGGTTTTAGGGTCATGTGACCGCCGTGATTCGCCGTCATGGCGGTCACATGGTCGGGAAAGGTCCCAATCGAAAGAGAAGATCGGGACCTTTCCGTGAGTATCGGGCATGTGTGCTGGGAGCACACAGGGCGCGCTCTCTCAGCACATATGTTTTTCTTAATTGCACACAAATGTGCAGCCACTTGGCGTCTAGGCCCAGACAACGGGAGGCCGCACATCTGTGTGTGGCCGGCGTGAAGAGGTTAAATTCCAAGAATGTTGATTATTCCAGCAAAAGGCACATCTTTGCATACAAATTTAATTACAAGTTTGATTTTTAGCATAACTAATGGCAGGGGTTATAACCCTCAATTACTTTATCCAAAATGAAAATAAAAAGGTTTTGTCTTTAGGTCCACTGTAAGTGACAGAATAGCTTTAAAACAGAAAAAAGAAGGCAAAAATAACATTGCACCATATGAGTTAAATAATGATCTTTGCCTTGGCTGATATTCTATGTCACTCAATAAATTTAGGACCACATTTTCCAGAGAGTCCTTTTTTTTTATTTGACAAGACGTCTATCAATTATTTATTGCAAATGATAAACCTGGTGTTTCGGGACGAGATGCCTGTAGGCAGGGTGGCAGAACAGCTCAACACGAATAAAGGTCAGCACAGTGGAAAGGTCAGCACAGTGGCTAAATGATTAGCACTTCCGCCTGGCAGTACTAGGGTCGCTTGTTCAAATCCCAACCCCAGCACCACCTGCCTAGAGTTTGCATATTCTCCCTGTGCCTGCGTGGGTTTCCTCCAGGTACTCTGGTTTCCTCCCACTCTCCAAAGACATGCTGGAAGGTTCATTGGCTCCTTTCTAAATTGGCCCTAGTATGTGTATGTATGAATGTGAGTTAGGGACATTAGATTGTACGCTCCTTGAGGGTTAGGGATTGATGTGAATGTACAATATACAGTGGGGATAGAAAGTTTGGGCACCCCAGCTACAAATTTGTAATAATGTGCATAAAGAAGCCAAGGAAAGATGGAAAAATCGCCAAAAGGCATCAAATTACAGATTAGACATTCTTATAATATGTCAACAAAAGTTAGATTTTATGTCCATCATTTACACTTTCAAATTAACAGAAAACAAAAAAATGGCGTCTGCAAAAGTTTGGGCACCCTGCAGAGTTAATATCTTGTACTGCCCCCTTTGGCAAGTATCACAGCTTGTAAACGCTTTTTGTAGCCAGCCAAGAGTCTTTCAATTCTTGTTTGAGGTATCTTTGCCCATTCTTCCTTACAAAAGTCTTCCAGTTCTTTGAGATTTCTGGGCTGTCTGTCACGCACTGCTCTTTTAAGGTCTATCCATAGATTTTCAATTATGTTGAGGTCAGGAGATTGTGAAGGCCATGGCAAAACCTTCAGTTTACGCCTCTTGATGTAATCCCCCGTGGATTTCGAGGTGTGTTTAGGATCATTATCCATTTGTAGAAGCCATCCTCTCTTTAACTTCAGCTTTTTCACAGATGACATCAAGTTACCATCCAAAATTTGCTGAAATTTTATTGAATCCATTTTTCCTTTTACTCGTGAGATGTTCCCTGTGCCACTGGCTGCAACACAACCCCAAAGCATGATTGATCCAACCCCATGCTTAACAGTTGGACAGAGGTTCTTTTCATTAAATTCTGTGCCCCTTCTTCTCCAAACGTACCTTTGCTCATTCCGGCCAAAAAGTTCAATTTTAACCTCATCGGTCCACAGAACTTGTTTCCAAAATGCATAAGGCTTGTCTATATGTTCATTTGCAAAGTTCAAACGATGATTTTTGTGGTGAGGACATAGAAGAGGTTTTCTTCTGATGACTCTTCCATGAAGACTATATTTGTACAAGTATCTCTTTATAGTGGAATAGTGTACCACAACTCCAGTGTCTGCCAGATATTTCTGGAGGGATCGTGCAGTCAAACATGGGTTTTGAATTGTTTTTCTCACAATCCTGCGAGCTGTTCTGTCTTTTTCTTGGTCTTCCAGATCTTGCTTTAACTTCCACTCTTTCTGATGACTGCCATTTCATAATTACATTCTGAACAGAGGATATTGACATCTGAAAATGCTTTGCTATCTTCTTATAGCCTTCTCCAGCTTTGTGAGCGTCAACTATTTTCAGTTTCAGTTTTCTAGACAACTGCTTAGAAGAACCCATGGTGCTGATTGTTGGGGCAAGGTCAGATGAGTCTGGGCATTTAAAACCTTTGAGATTGACATCACCTGGTCTTCCCAGACAATGATTGAGAACAATCCATGACACTGGCAGGTCTCAGCTTGGCAAAGGGGGCAGTGCATGCTATAAATTCTACAGGGTGCCCAAACTTTTGCAGACGCCATTTTTTTGTTTTCTGTTATTTTGAAAGTGTAAATGATGGAAATAAAATCTAACTTTTGTTGACATATTATAACAATGTCTAATCTGTAATTTGATGCCTTTTGGAGATTTTTCCATCTTTCCTTGGCTTCTTTATGCACATTAATACAAATTTTTAGCTGGGGTGCCCAAACTTTCGATCCCCACTGTATATACATAAAGCGCTGTGTAAATTGACAACACTATATAATTACCGGAAATAAATAAAATAAATAAGGTTTGTAAAAGTCTTGAAGTTCACTTGAAGGTTTTTAAGATACAAGAGGAATATGAAACAAGCTTCACGGGTGTCAAACTGACGGCCCTCCTACTGTTGACAAACTACAAGTCCCATGAGGCATTGCAAGATTGACAGTTACAAGCATGACTCCCAAAGGCAGAGGCATGATGGGACTTGTAGTTTCGCAACAGCTGGAGGGCGGCCAGTTTGACACCCCTGAGCTAGGTAATAGGAACCCAGTATAGAGCACTCAGGCTGGTGAATGCTGCAAGGTAACAGCTCTGCACAAGTATCACACTGAAGTCTAGTACACACTATGAGAAAATTTATCGAACAATCATCTGATTTTCCACGAAACTGCATATCATGATGTAGTTGGAATGGTATTGACTAAGATTTAACAAAGGAAAAAGTAAAAGAAAAAGTGTAAGACCTACTTCTATGTAGCGTACAAGCATAGTAGAAGAGGAAGTGTAGGGTCGTTCTATACTTCTGATCATACACGTTTTTTCTCTGTTCGATTTCCATACGATTACTGTACACATTAAATGAAAATCAGATGTTTTGGTTGCACCCTTGGTATTTGTCGTCTGAAAAGTCGGATTCGGCTGTCAAAAGACATACTCTGTTTACAAAAAAAAACAAATGGCAAGGTGCTGCATGGCAAAGGTACCAGGAGACATGACTCCATATGAAATCATTCATCATTTTGGTTGCATTTACAGCTATGTGTATGTGATATTTGAAGCAATGGCTCACATGCGCCCATTTTTCTCCTATGGGTCTTTAACAGGCTTCTATGTACCAAAAACCAAGAAATGAATGGGGACATATGCTGAAGTGCATTGGGGCAAAAGAGGTACTAATGCATGCATTGGTGAGAAACTGCCTTAAAAAAGGCACTCCAGATCCTCAGAAAATGCTGTTAAGGATTGAAGTATCTAAGGAGGTTCAAGTCACTAGTGCACAGGGGCTCTGTATGATTTCTTTCTGCTCATCAGTATTACTGCAGATAACTGTATATTTCAAATGGAAATGGCATTCATCGATTTTTTTTTTTTTCACTCTTGCAGAAACATGGCATCGTTAACACTGTTCGTTTGTTGCCTGTTAGTGGCATCCACATGTAAGTACCAGGAATATTGCATAGCATATACTACTTTTACCTTACATGATAGATAATAGTTTTTGACAATGGGCTGCCTGTTAATACTTATCTGTCCCACTGTCCCAAATCCGATCTTCTTTTCTAGAAACAATGGCCAAAGAATCTTTTGCATCCTACATTTCACTGCATAAAGCCCCAAACACATGATGAGAATATTGGACGAATGATCCATCCATTTTTTTTTTGCATGCTAGTCTCATATCAAAAGTGAAGAGGTTACTAAAGTTCTGAAAATTGTTGTATGACAGAAAGAAAATTCGGAAGTGATGTGCCAGTTGCAGGCCTCTCTCATCTTTTTGGGTGGGAGAACTTGCACAATTGGTGGCTGACTAGATACTTTTTTGCCCCACTGTATGGCTCTGCTATGTGGAGCCGTACGAAGCAGTGTGTAGGAGCTGACAGGGGAGAGATCTGCGTTGTTTATACACAGGTCTTTCCCCCATTGGAGATACTTGGCGATCAATGGGTGTCGGTGAGTAATCACCAGTCGGGATCCGGTGATTGACAGCCAAGGCCACGAATAGCTGGGTGGGTAGTGCACCCTCCCAGAACTGCAAAATCACATATATATATATATACACATGATTTTGTGCACCCATGCTGCCCTGTAGCAGTATTTCTGCTATGGGGTTGCGCATAATCAGTTAAATTCCATGACTAAGCCCCATGGGCGGTGCAAAACATGTCTGGGTATGTCCAGGACAGAGATAAACTGAGGATGCCACTATCTCCTTGATGTATGGGATTGCTTGGTTTGCGGCTTGTGGTTCATTTCTTTTGCTCTCATATTGCTCCCACCCCCCTCTGCCAATCCCTTCACTGGCTTCCGATTGTGCAACGGATCAAATTCAAAATTCTAACACTGACGTACAAAGCCGTCCACCACACTGCCCCAAATTACATCACTGACCTAATATCCAAGTACCATCCAACACGCACACTCCGCTCCTCACAAGACCTCCTTCTCTCTAGTTCCCTGGTCTCCTCCTCCCATGCCCGCCTCCAGGATTTCTCCAGGGTGTCACCCATCCTCTGGAACTTCCTGCCCCAACCCATCAGATTATCACCTACTCTCCTCTCCTTTAGGCGCACCCTGAAAACCCACCTCTTCAGGGAAGCCTACCCCACCCCCTGCTAATTTGCCGACCTCCTCCACTCTTCCTACCACTCCATCCCCCACAGCTATCTCCTCCTGTACCACTATCCCCTCCCTCCTAGATTGTAAGCTTGAAAGAGCAGGGCCTTCGAACCCCTCGTGTATCGCATTGTATTGGTATTGTTCTGTCGCATGTTCTGTCCCCCTTTGTAATGTACAGCGCTGAGCGAACTGTTGGCGCTTTATAAATACTGTATAATAATAATAATAATGTATTTGTATTGTATTTTCGAAAATTGTACAATCTGGAATCGTACAAGAAAAATGTTTGTGCTTGTCCCATCATAGAATTTCGGATTATCATAGAGTCGCTGTGAAAGCAGTATTTTCCGTACGATTTTCTGATTGTGTGTACTATAGGCAGGGGCATCCCTAGAGTTGGTGTCACACAGTGTGATAACACTTAGTGACACCCCCTCCGACGATCCCCGCAGGATGGATCTGCAGATTGAGCATAATGGATCGGAGTCCGATCCATTATCCTCCCCAATCCACAGATCCGATCCATCCTGCAGGGATAGTCAGCTTGCAACCTATACAGGGTTAACTCTCCACGAGCTCCATCGAAAAGATATTAAATGACGTATGTAACATATGTGAAAATAACTTGGCTTGTGTTTATATGTCTGCAGTTTCACAGCCAGCTTGGCCTAATTTTAACTTTTTACCTGGCGGATATGGAGGAGGAAATGGAGGATACGGTGGAGGGTATCCCAATTCAGGAGGAAGTGGAGGAAACAGTGGAGGACGTCCAAGCACAGTAGGAAATGGAGGATACGGTGGAGGGTATCCCAACTCAGGAGGAAGTGGAGGAAACAGTGGAGGACGTCCAAGCACAGTAGGAAATGGAGGAAATGGTGGAGGGTATCCCAGCCCAGGAGGAAGTGGAGGATATGGTGGAGGTTATCCCAGCTCAGGAGGAAGTGGCGGATACAATGGAGGACGTCCAGGCACAACAGGAGGTGGAGGATATGGTGGAGAACAACCCAGCACTGGTGGAGGTGGTGGATCTACCACTACAGGAGGATCTCAGTGTAAATGTCCAGTTCCAGATATGAAATGCGTAGATAGTATAGCCAATGGAATGATTGCAAAATGCCCTGCAGGTAAGATATTTTTTTCATGGTAGATTATACTGTTTTAAAGTAAACCTAATCTCAAGAGAAACAATAGATGTTGCAATGTGTTGAGGTGTCCTGAAAAATCTAGTTCCCTGGCTATTATTCTTGTCATTCTGACCATGTTGCCTGGCTGCATCTTGGCCATCTTGTATTAAACTGAGTCACTGTGTGATTGGGAACAAATATGCAAATTAGGACTTCTGACTGAGCACCTCCTATTAGCGGGAAGCATGGAGAATTGAATCCTGGACAGGAAAGGTAATCTGGGAAGAGGGGGTGCAATTACAGGAACCGATCCCATATGTGTATCTCACTGCAGCAGCTGAAAGCCGATGGGAGGGAAAGAAGGAGAAGCTAGCTATTAGCTGCCGCAGGGAGAGACACCCAGGGGATAAGTTCTTCTAAGTACCCCCCCTGCCCCTGCACCGATCACCCCCTCTCCTGCCCATATCTGATTCTTTTGTTGCCTGGGCCCACGTACAGGAGGACTGGTGTCACCCCATTATCAGCAGCCCTGTCTCTGTATGTGCTTGCAAGTCCTTTATTACAAAACAAAAAATAAAAATAAATGTCCCCTGAAGTAAACCCAACATCAGTCATGATGAATCTCAAGTTAGATCTACTTCGGAGGACATTTTTTTTTTATTTTTTTTTTTTAATAAAAGATTTGTAAAAACCGGTATATTTTTTCTCACTTTTTAATCTTTTTTTGGTGAATGAGTAGAGATACTATGTACCCCATACTCATATTCACATGGGGGGGGGGCGGGATCTGGGGGCCCCCTTGATAAAGAGGGTTTTAAGATTCTGATAAGCTCCTCGCCCACAGACCCCCACAACCACCGCCCAGGGTTGTCGGGAAGAGACCATTGCCCCATCAACATGGGGTCAAGGCATTTTGGGGGGCCCAAAACACTCCCCCCCCATGTTGAGGGCATGTGGTCTAGTATTGTTCGAAGGGGGAGGGGGGGCGCTCGCTCATCCACCCACCTTTGATGACCTGCTGGGCTGAATGCTCAGATAAGGGTCTGGTATGGATAGGGGGAGACCCCATGCCATTTTTTTTTTCATTGCAGGAAATTCTTTTTTTTACATTCAGCTGTCATTGGGGAAACCACTGACAGCTGATAAGTCATCAGATGTTAAAGATGCACTGTCCAGCTTCCCAGCCCTCTCCTTAATGACCAGCTATTTTTCACACAGAATCTGGATCAGTCAATAAATTTTCAACCGATTCGAATTTGAATTGTTCTGAAAATTCGGAATTTGTTAGAAACTGAATAAACGAAACAAAACAAATTTGAACAAAATTCATTACTATTGTTATTCAAAAATTCGGATACATCCGAATCTCTGAATAACCAAGAATTTGTTGGATTTAGAATCGGACCGAAGCGAATTGCACATGTCCACAGTGGATGCTGCATTTAAGGTATAGCTATAATTGGCAGAGTTGCCAGTGGGGCTATATCAGTTATTATGCCATAGCTAAACTTACCTTTCAAGCCCTCAAGATTCATAGCTGTTCTATTATGCACCACCATGGCAACTGCAGATCTAAAAAGATGGCACTGTCCTTGGTGGATTGGAGGGTTTAGTCCCACTCAGGGGCAGACTGACCATTTGGAAACTCGGGCACTGCCCGAGGGCCGGGGTCAATAGGGGGCCCCATGAGGTGCCCCAGGTACCTTTTTCATAGGCTTTTTTGAGTTTGGGCAAGGACACAGGGGCCCCATGATCCCCTATTGCCCGGGGGCCCCATGAGTTGTCAGTCTGCCCCTGGTCCCACTTTAAAGATTTCATGCATAAGCTCAGTTGTTACTTATTCTCCTTAAAGTGGTAGTAAAGTGAAAATATGTAAAACAGACAGGCAGGGTTTTTTATGACAGAAGAGGGTCTAGAGGTCTCGTCTTTCAGAAATGTTCCCCTGCCTGTCAGCGGCTAATGTGATCTGAGCCTCACAAATGCGCAGCTCAGGCCACATTTGTGTGTGCAGCAATGACGTTATTCCTGGATTCCTGTTTACATGCGCGGGAGTGATGTCACCCCGGCCCAGCCATTGTAGCGGCCAAAGATATAAAAACCTGGAAAGACGACCAGGTGAAGATGGAAGCGTCGGGGACCAGGGAGAACCATGGCACTGCATTGCTGGAGGGCTCCATTTGTAGGTAAGTCTGTTATCATGTACTAGTATGCTCTGCATATAGTACATTATAACTTAAACCTGTAGGGGGGGGCATTTTTTCCTTTATTAGCTAGAATTTACTATTGCTTTAAATGCATTTTGCCTTTGAACCCACAGATTGCGACAGCATCCGTTTGCCTCTCTGCCTCAGCCAATCAGGGGAAGCTTTGTATTCATCCATAGAATGCATAGCTTCCTGTAAATGGCTGAGCAGCACTCAGCCTGAGTCTGGAAGTCCCTGTTCCACTGCTGGAACACAGTGATGCATACTGTATGTAGCAGAGGTTACATACAGTTAAATTGGTTGTAAACCTTTAAATATACCCAGTGAAGTGACTGGCCTCAGGTGATACACAGAGATGAAACAAATCCTCCTATGTATGTTGTACCTGTTTATCTACAGTGGTCTTTCACCATCATCCATTCAAAGGGCAGACTTTACACAGGATCTCTCAGCTCTGAAAAGCAGGGGGCGGGGAGTTGAAGTTACATCAGTAAGAAGAGCTCTGAGAGCAGATTGGAGAGAAGAGACATGCCCCCTTTCACAAAGCACACAGAAACACAGCTGTCAATCACAGAGTGTGCCCTCTCCACAGGGGCGGACTGACCATTTGGAAACTCGGGCACTGCCCGAGGGCCCGGAGTCAGTAGGGGGCCCCATGAGATGCCCCTGGTACCTTTTTCATAGGATGTTTTGAGTTTGGGCAAGGACACAGGGGCCCCATGATCCCCTATTGCCCGGGGGCCCCATGAGTTGTCAGTCCGCCCCTGCCTCTCCATCACCATTTTTCTCTTGGTGCCAGGAAAACCTGTCAGAAGTGACTCATGCTGATAACAGGGGAATGAGGCAGCAGACAGAAAAGACACTTAGTTCTCTGGATTGAGACAAGAACACACTACGGAGGATTATGCTTTGTTCATATTCCATTTCTGAGGTTTGCAACCACTTTAACACAGCATTTACAGCAAGCACACCAGTTAGTGTAGTAAATAGTTAGTGTGGGCCAGCTTGCCCCAAACAAACTGTTTAAAGGGACGTTAAATGTGGAGTTAAGCTTTGAAGCAGAACTAACCAACTGATCTACAGTACATTCAAGGCATGCCTCTGATGATAACTGTTACAGTTGTCTGTGTGTTTCTGTCAGTACTCAAGAAAACTTTCAAGCCCTCAAATAATTGATCGCATGTGCAGCACCATTGCAACTGTAGGTCTAACTATGGGCTAAGATGGCACCATCTTTGCCTCGTAAAGGATAGGAGAGTTTAGATCCACTTTAACATTCACACCATTACTTGCTAATGTTTGGAATTTAGTGTTTTCCTCTAAAGGCAATCTAAAGTCATATAATATTCCATTCCCTTAAAGTGTGTTTACAGCCATGGCTGTTGAGATGATGAGAGGTTGAAACCTCTTGTCAGGTTCTTATTTCTGTCTGCGCCCAAGTAAGGAAGACTCAGCCTTTCTATTTGTCCTGATGACCATCATTACAGAGATGGAAAGTGATGGGAATTCCAAAATGTTTTAGCTGTCACCAAAACAAGAGGTGGGAATAAATCTTCCAGCGGGCACACTTGTTCTGGTGACAACTGTCTAAAGGGAAAACTCCCCTTACTTTGCAGAGATTTGTTCCTATTTCCTGTTGCATCTCTAGAACAGGAACCAAAGAGAAATCTTTTCCATGTGACAAATGGCAAATAAAGAAAAAAAAACCCTTGATCAAAATGAAAAAAAAGAAAAGAAAGTTTTTTTTTACTACTATAAATACATGAAATACTTTTGCTATAGTAGTCAGGAGTCTTTGGCAACTGGGCAAACATCCAAACGTATTGCATAGTAACCACTCAGCTTTTAACTTCAGCTTGTTCCATTAAGCTTTGACAATAAATCCTGATTGTGTAAGAACCAGGGGCGGACTGACAACTCATGGGGCCCCCGGGCAATAGGGGATCATGGGGCCCCTGTGTCCTTGCCCAAACTCAAAAAAGCCTATGAAAAAGGTACCAGGGGCATCTCATGGGGCCCCCTACTTACCCCGGGCCCTCGGGCAGTGCCCAAGTTTCCAAATGGTCAGTCCGCCCCTGGTAAGAACAGTCCTCCTGTGCTACCAACCTAACTGCAATGACCCCCAAGTGGCCGCAGACACCTATCAGGGGTGGACTGACCATTCGAGCAGTGGGGCACTGCCCGAGTGCCCAGGGTCAGTAGGGGACCCCATGAAATGCCCCTGGTACCTTTTATAGGCTTTTTTTGGGTGTGCTTTGAATGTGGACAAGGACACAGGGGCCCCATGATCCCCTATTGCCCGGGGGCCCCATAAGTTGTCAGTCCGTCCCTGCTAACTATATTCCAAAATAGTGGCCACGTGATGAAACGGCTTTTATATTCTCCTTTAGCTGAGACAACGAGGGAGATTTACTACAAGTACTGCACACAGAAGCTGGTGCAGTTCTGCAAAGTAACCAATCAGGATTTATTATAAAAGAAGTGAATTGGTGCTGCGCTACTCAGTGCATGAACAATATAACAAATAAATCAGAAAATGAATGCACATATGACCCTCATCCAAGTGTGAAAACAACAAATGCAAAAAACAGGAATAAGTGCAGACAATACCAAATATCAATAAAGACAGCACAGTGTGCTAATACTGTGCCAGTGACTGACGTGAACACAAGGAAATAATGATAATAAAATTGATGTGATAAAGTAAGTCCCAAAAAGGATAATAGCAGTCCCAAAAAACACAGGAACAAAAAAGAATGTTCAACACAAGCCCATGAGACATCCAGTTATGATATATATATATATAGATATATATATATATATATATATATATAAAATCAATTCTCCACCGGCTAGCATGCGCGCCCACCTTCAAAATGTGACCCCCAAGGAGTCATAAAGCATAAAGAAACCTCAAATAATGATCCCAAATAGATGGTCCTCGATAGCAATCAAAGAAAAATGGGTCCTCTCCATTGACGATGGCAAACACTCACAGACATGCTCCAGATATGGCCACAGACCTCTATCACCTCAATTAGTAGGTGTTTCTGTGTAACTTGATTCAAAAATAGACATCCACAAAGCAAAGGCAGTCTAGCCAAAATCAGCGTAAGATCTTTAACCTCTTCGCGTCTGGCCCATGTCGATAAACGGATGGACGGGAGCGCTGCCGATGCAGGTGGACGTTGCTAAACGTGTCCCCGCATCCATTGTCTGTGCGCGCTCACTGGGAGCGCTCAGCACCACGATCGTGGCCGCTGTGTCCGGAGGACAGATCGCTGTACGGAACCTCTGTGTGAGGTCTCGATTCATGTGATCACTGATTGGCCAGTCAGTGATCACATAAATAGTAGTAAACAAGATGTCACTTCCTGACATCATTGTTTAATAGTTGTGAAATCTGTGAATGATCACCGAGGTCACATGGTACAAGGCTATTCACAACAGTCTTGTACCATGTGACAAGCTGTGACCAATCACAGCTCAGACAGTATTTCTCAATGGCTGCAAGAATGCAGCCAGAGAGCAGGAGAAATGATTGCTTTTACAGCCTTTATGGGTGTAAAAGCAATCAGTGTAAAAAAAGTAAAAAAAAATCTTCAACACCCCCCACAAGTAGTACAGCGTCACTATGGTGACACTGTACTGCTAGGGTGATTGGTATGTTAAAAAAAAAACTCATCAATAATAATATAAAAATGTAAAAAAATGTTTTGAAAAATTATAATTTTTGGTTATAAACTAATTTGGGTTATTTTTTTTCTTTACTAAAAAGAGAGATTTTGGCCAAGATTTATGAAGGAAGATTATTTATTTACAAAATGTTACAAGAAAAACACTTTTTTTTCAAAAATGTTGGACTTTTTCATTTATATAGCAAAAAAATATAAAAGCCCAGTGGTGAATAAATACCACCAAAACAAAGTTTTATCCGTCTCAAAAAAATGCAAAAAAATTCACATGGGTACAGTGTTGCATGACCGCGCAATTATCATTCAAAGTGTGATAGCGCTGAAAGCTGAAAATTGGCCTGAACAGGAAGGGGGTGAAAGTGTCCAGACTTGAAGTGGTTAAATTCACATCCCCAGCTCTGAAGGGGTTACTGCAAGGATCCCAGTAGGGCATCACCTGAAGGAAAAGCCAATTGGGTCATAGCAGAATAGCAGTCACAGCAGAGGTATGCTCAGCAAGGAAGTCAATGACTTCACTAATTCATGTTTTTTTTTGCATTTGTTGTTTTCACACTTGGATGAGGGTCATATGTGCATTTCATTTTCTGATTTATTTATTTATGTATGTTTTATTGTTCATGCACTGAGTAGCGCAGCACCAATTCACTTCTTTTATAATAAATCCTGATTGGTTACGGTACTTTGCAGAGTTGCACCAATTTCTGTGTGCAGCACTTTTAGTAAATCTCCCCCATAGTCTCAGATAAAGGGGAATATAAAAGCCGTTTCATCATGTGGCCAATGACCAAGCTCAGCCACATTGCCAGATCGAGGTCTGTCTTATTTAACTATAGATTGGCTTAAAAATATATAAAATTATTGCTATTTAGTGCATCCGACCATTTTCCTTAAACTTCAAGTTGGCGTGGTGCTTCCCCAGGCAGGAGATGACGCTCTTCTCTTTTTTTTTCCAGGCTATACAGCTCTTTCATGCTCATGCGCAAACAGCTGTGGTACAACTACGTTTCCGGGTACGGATACCTGCAAATGTGAATGCTTGGAAACAGACTGGGCCTTAGCCCGCTGCTGCAAGATCGTCTATGCTACACAGTAGCACTCCATCTTCATATCTCTTCATTTGCTCCTTTATTTCTGAGCAGATCATTAAAAATATTTTATGTAATAACTGTATGGTATGAATGCATATGATTGATAGAACAAAACATACTACCGTTTTGACAGCAAAATATAGGACAATCTAAAACAAATGAGCTGATTAACTGTTACCCTAGGTTTCACACCTAAGCGTTTTCTGCCACGTTTTCCGTTTTGAAAAAATGCACTACAGTCCATTTAACATGATTTCCTATGGGACAGGTTCACATCTCCACGTTTTCACCTGGTGCATTTTTTGGAGAGGTTCAGGGACTTTTTTTTTAAAACAAAACATTGGATTTTTAGTTCTATAGACTTCAATGGGAATGCTGTTGCATTTTTGATGCGTTTTGCATTTTAAATCTGCCTAGCAACAAGAAATATGAAAAAAAAAAAAATGCAAAACGCATCAAAAACACATCAAAAACGTGTCAAAAAAACAAGTGCAAAAAATGTAAAACACAATGCAAAACGCAATGCAGAAATGCCTCAAATGCAACCTGCATAGGTGTTAACTTAGACTTAGGCAGTTGGACCGATTTAAAGTGGCTGTAAACCCTTACATATACTCAGTGAAGTGACTAGCCTCAGGCAATAAATGGAGATAAAACAAATCCTCCTACGTGATTTGTACGCGTTTATCTGTAGCCCTCTCTTCTCCACAGCCATTCAAATTACAGAATTTCTACAGCTTGTGGGAGCTTCCAGAAAGCAGGGGGGACAGATAGCTGAAATTACACAGTGCAGAGCTCAATGAGGAGAGCTGTGAGAGCTGATTGGAGGGAAGGGACACATCTTCCTCTACACAGCAGATAGAAACAGAGCTGAGACTGTCAATCACAGGCTGTGCCCTCCCCATCACCATTTTTCTCTTGGTGTCAGGAAAACTTGTTAGAAGTGACTCATGCTGATAGCAGGGGAACAAAGCAACTGACAGATATAACACACTTAGTGCTCTTGATTGAGACAAGTGTGACGATCGCACATCAGACCCCTGACCTTCTCACCAAACTCATGACCGAAGGACTAGCCAATCTGAAACCGCAATGTCACGTGCGTAACAATGCCACCCTGCACGACGATTTTCCAGCTAATGGACCACAAATTGATGTACCGGCATCCTGAATGCGATTGTTACTGGGTCAGGTTAATTACGCAATTAACTCTTTACACTGCCACCACCTCCTTTTTTGTACAGAGAAAGAGGAAACTCGGCAATATCGGCAATAACACTATGAAGGTTGAGATAATCATCTGTATAGCACTGTCACCACAGACAGGTTATACAGAGGGTTAAACAAACACAGTAGCGCTCTTTTAGAGGCAGGAATTCGTAAGTTGCATTAACGAAGCTATAGAAACAGTTCAACACTTTCAGAAAGAAAGATTTATTACTAAAAGGTCAAAAGGGTGCAATAAAAATATTTACAGAGAAAAGATGTAACCAATATATATATAAATATACAGAGAACAATAGCACAGTAAAGCGGTAACTGAAAGGAGGTTTAAATGGTTAAAGTACTTGCCAATCAGCCTTGGGTTAAGCAGATCAAGTTTCAGAGCAAAAGGACATGTCTCCCAAGTTGGTTCTGCTGTTAAACGGGAGAATTCTTCAACTCCTCTTAGGCCTGACAGGCTAGTTTGTAGTCCCCCAGCAGGGGGGTCTCTGAAGCCAAGGACCAATGCCTCATTTGGGGAGGGATTGTCTGGGCGGAGACCCAAACTAGAACCAAAATCTCTCCTAGCTCATATTTTGGCTAATAACTTTTCCTAGGCACAAGTACCATTCCACCCGCGGGTAGATTAATATGCATTAATATCTGAGCAACGGTTAGATATGAAATATGAAATACATACTTGAAGGGTTCCAGAGATGTAATTTTCTGCTTTCCTAGGTATTCCTGTCAGGGAGTGTGACCTATCAAACGATTTGTCTGATCGTGAGCAATCTGAAGGCCTGGTTTTTATGCAAGTCTCTCATATTCCAAGATATGAGACATAGGGGAAAAATGGATTTTAAAAGTGTTATCTAGTTCCTTACTTCTCTGGAATGTCTTTGAACTCAGGGGAAAGCTTGGGTTATTTTTTTACGAGGTTCCAGATTGCTCAGCTTCCCAGCCAACTCGGCACCCAGCTCAGATATGGTTTAAAACTCGGAGCTGCCTGCTGTGCCCTGGCCGACCTGTGACACTTCCAACACACACACACCAACCAAATGTCACTCTGACTCTCAGAGAGGGTGGGGGATAATGAGGGGAGATATGTTTGTACAAGATGGATGATCCTTTGCCAAGAGGGAGGTTGGAGCCAAAATGGTTGAACCGCGTCCATCTCTGTTGCATGATTGCTACACCTCCCCCCTCAGGTGGTTGCATGGGAGGGGACTGCAATTTCCCTCCTGACGCAACCGACTGCTGCAGCGGGTTTGCCTTACCAGGGCACAGAGCCACTGTACCCAGGGGTTCACCTTGGGGTGATATGCACGGCGGGAGAACCAGGTTCCTTCTGAGAAGGAAGCTGTTCTCCCTGGCAACACTGCTGTGCCAATCAAGTGAGTTGTCACGGGTGTCATATGCTAACATATATCCCTCCTGGCCAGCCTGTGACACTTCCAACACACACCGACCAAATGTCACTGTGACTCTCAGAGAGGGAGGGGGAGAATGAGGGGAGATATGTTTGTACAAGATGGATGATCCTTTGCCAAGAGGGAGGTTGGAGCCAAAATGGTTGAACCGCGTCCATCTCTGTGGCATGATTGCTACAACAAGTACACACTATAGAGAGATATGCTTTCTTCATATTTCATGTCTAAGGTTTACAACCACTTTAAGTACAACTATCATCATGTTAAATCTGCTAAACTGGCCCATTGTGTCAAAGGTGTGCACCCATGGGTGGGTGCACATATCTCTGTAGAGGGTCTTCAGCCCCCTCCAGCAGCCAAGGCAAATCTTGGATTCTAATGAGAAAATTGGTGGTTTGTCCAACTTTCTCATTTTTCAAAATCCCTACTGGAGTTGCTGAAGTTCATTTGAAGAACCAATATAGGAGTTAGTTGTATGGAATGGTAATTGAGCGCTGGGAACATCAATAAAAAGCAGCTAGCATAAGAGGTAACCTTTGGAACCCAATAAAACACATGTAGAAAAATATATGCAGCGCTAATAAAACTAATGAAAACAAACGGAAAAACAGAACATAGGTTGCACACTAGCATAGATGAAAAAACTCAGTCCATATTACATGGTGGGATAAAGTGATAGGTGCAATTGTCCAAGTGATCCATGGTCAGAGATAATCGTGACTCTAGTGATCTTGTAATTGTACAAATAATGCACTAACCAGATAGCGCATAAAGTGCGCATGGAGCGAATTAAGACCCGCTCCTGGTGCTCTGGACTTGTGATTTCAGGAGGATGTCATCTGCAGGTTAGCCACCAGATGTCATCAATCCAGGTACATTCGTAAGTCATCCACCAGGAAAATCATCAGCGGGGGAGGGGGTAATCACACATCACTCCAAACCAGCAGGAACCTTCAAAAGTGGGCTCCCATGCAATAGATGAGACCCAGAGAGGCTTCTAATAGTGTAGTATGTATTTATAGGTAAAGTTGATCCAGGAAATATCCAATTGCCTCTCGGGGGATCAGGAAGGAATTTTTTTTTCCCTCAGGAGCAGGATAAACAGGCAAAAGGATCTGGCAGCAAGGAAGGCAATCAAAACACTGACGCCTAGGGTAGAGAGCAAGTCAGCTTTTTATTTTCTCTGAAGTAGTCAAGACTGGCTAATCACAATTTCCCAAATGTAAAGGCTAACATTGGAACAGATCCAGTAGGTAGCACTTTCGCTTATCCTTTTCTCCAGTTTTTAGAAGACAAGCCAATTTTAATTTGAAAACAAACTCTTGATTACAAAAAACAATACATACAAAAGTTAAAGCTACTAATAGCAATCAGAACCTTTATTTTAATTGCCAGTATCTATGCAAAACCTTTTTTTTAAAGGTAGTTTACAAGAAATGTGGAGATTTCCTATTTGATCTAGACCCTTCCATGTCGTAAAATGGATTATATTTCCAGAGCCGCCTTCTGAGAAGGTCTCCCATCTCTCTTTCTGGAAACAATTGAAAGGTCTGAAGACCTACCCTAAGTATATGTATAGTGGTTCCTAAACAGAATCATAGTACTTTTGTAATTACACAACAATACTCAATTTAACTATCAGGCAGTGGTTCAAGTACAAGTGCAGTCTCAAAGCACCTCCGGTACAAATATAAAAAAAAACCAAACAAAAAAACCCTATAAAAGAAAAGGACTAATACTTTTCTGTCCTATGACCCATGCCTCCAGTCATTGTTCTCTTGCAGAGCTAAGCCTAAAAAGAATCTTTTGTATCTAATATACCTTTGGGACTGTCAGATGCCTGGTCCCCCTCTACGATCTGTGGTTCTATCCACTGGTTGTTACACCATAACAGCTTTGCAAGGACACAGTAGTGACGTATTATCCAAGTAGCGGCTGATGTAAGTATCTGATGCACCTGGAAGTGTGCCAAATGCTGAAAATTTTTTAGCTGGTTTAGCTGTGGAAGAGAACAAAGACTGAAAACACAGTGGCCAAGATAGTTTACCTTCAAATTACTCCACAGACTTTCAATGGCTTCTTTTTCCTTCTCTGACAAACTTTTAGCAGTGAAAAAGGTCTTGTCTTGTCCCCTGTGGACTCCTTGGTGATACTGCCATGTTAAACTTTTTGGAAAATTTTTCCACATTTGTAACATGAAAATATTTTTCCTCCTGAGAGTGTCTCTGGTGAGCTTCTAACACTTGTGTTGATTGTGAAGAATGAAGCAATGC